CCTTTCTGGGCTCCAACTGCACCTCACGGCCTGCGGACCAACTAAATGGGTCTCTAGTTTTTTTTATTATCGTTCGTCGGCCGAATAAGTATAAGAAAAAAGAGACCTCCCCTGCGCTGCTTCGTCCATCGTCCATGATGTTTCCTTCATTTCCTTCCTCAAAACTCTACCGCTGCCACCTCCACCACTCAAGCCTCCACGCCCACCGGACCTCCCTTCCCGCTCCTCTTGCTCCGCCACCCGCCCCGCCTAACGGCGCGGGCACCACCGCACCCACGCCTAGGGACAGCTAACTTGGCCGCTAGCTGGCCACCAAGGCCGTGTTGCGCGTGTGCTTATGCCTGACGACGACGACGACAGCTGCCGACGGCGCAAGGAGAAGCGTCGGGCCTTGGCGTGGAAGCCCTCCGGGCTCGCGCTCCTGCTATGCGGTGCCCCACAGCAGACTGCGGAGAAGGCCGCATCAGGATACGTCGCATGTAGCAAATGTATCTTTCAAATGTTTCAGATGTTTTAGAGGTATGTTGCAAGTGTTTCGTGTGGATGTTGCAAAAGTAGATCGAGATATTGCACATGTTGCAATGGCTATACACTTATGTGGCAAGCGTATGTTTCTAATGTTTCATCTGTTTTAGACGTATGTTGCAAGTGTTTTATCTGCATGTTGCAAAAGTAGATCTGAATGTTGCATATATATACAAGTGTTTCAGGTGTTTTCATACATATGTTGCAAGTGTTTTCATCTGGAAGTTGCAATGTTTTGCAATAGCTACACACAAGCTTTCAAGTTTTTTTTGGTGTTTTGTAAGTGTTTCAAACGTATGTTGCAAATGTTTCAGCTGTTTTGGGCGTATGTTGCAAGTTTTTCATATGAATGTTGTAAAGGTAGATCGTATGTTGCACATGTTGAATGAGATCCACCTGCCGCAGCTGCTGGGGCGCCACCGAGTGGGCACGAGTGTGTGGTTGGTCGGCGCAGGACAAGGCGCGGAAAACGAGCAGGCACGGGAAACGGGGGTGCAGGGTAACAGGCCAGGAGGCATGGGCGTTCGGACACGCACGTGCGTCCAAACGTCCTTGCGCTAGAATCTCCGTTTCACCATATGTTGTAGTTGTTTTTAGGTTATATAGTTGTAGCACGCTACATTTACATCATAAAGTAAATACCCACGGTATTTAGACAGGAGAAGATGTAGCGAACCATGCATGACAACTTCAGACGCACTAGTAGTGCGGTGGTAAGGCTCCCTGTAGTTCAGCCGGTCGGCCAGGGTTCGAACCCTGGTCCTTGCACCTTATTCAGGTCTGGTTTGGATTTAATCGTATTCGCATCAATTTACATATGTTAGAGTGGATTAGAGTAGAACTTAAACTAAATTTTATCTTAATCCACTTCAACATAAATGGATTGATATGAATTCGATAACGTCTAAACAAGTCCTCAGGTGGAATTTCGTCTCCCCGGCGACTCTTTAAAAAACAACTTCATAGCACCGTATAGACAGGTCATAAATGTCAGTCAATACATAGCAATATGCTTTTCCTATCCGAATCAATCGGCCACAAACAGAATCAAAATTTCAGAAAGAAAAAAAATTACACCACTCTCCATCATGTGATCCATTCACCCTGAAATCACCCCAGCCCATCCTTTTTCCAATTTTGCGGCTCCCTCCCTCGCTGGACCAGTACGGCTGGATGCTTCGCCTCCTCCAGTCCTCCTCCCCCGGCCCGTCCTCACCCGGTCACCCCATCTCGGGCGCGGCCCCCTCCCAATCTCCAATGGCGCTCCAAACCCTAAACCCCCACCGGCACGCAGCGGCCGTCTCCCCGGCGCCGTCGCCCGTCCCGCGCCGCGGCCACCCGCCGCCACAGCCACTCCTGCATCTCCCTCCCCGCCGACGCCTCGCGGGCGGCGCCGCCCGGCCGCGCGCCGTCGGTGCCGCCGTCTCGGGAGCCGTCAACGAGGCCAGGAGCCGTGGGGCACCGCAAGGGGGCGGCGGGGAGGACGGGAGGAAGGACACGGACCTCGCCACGCTCGGGAACCTCTCCGCTCCATCACATTACTTTTTTTCGCCGAACGTCGGTTTCAGTTCTCGGCAAAGTCTTTGCCGAGTGCCCGATAAAAAAACACTCGGCAAAGAGCCGTTTGCCGACACTGTAGATGTCGTGTGCTGTTTGCCGAGTGTTACACTCGGTAAACCCTTTGCCGAGTGTTTTTTGGGCTTTGCCGACTGCCTGTGACATTAAGCAAAGCGACTGTTTCCGGTAGTGAATCCCGGCACCTGCATGCTTGCTTCAATAAAAAATCACTAACCATGACATGACGCCCGGCTATTATTAGCATTTCTATTTTTAATCCAGGTGCTAACCAAAACCATGGTAGCCGAATAAACAAAATGAATCAAGTAGATTATTATTCGGCTAAAGTTCTCTTTTCATATGAATATCTCCTTTGTCAAATATCAAGCTAATATCAGCCACGATTGTATACAACCGGCTTCATACTAATTACAACATGTGTGTATGCCTAAAGCATACTCTGGTCATTAATTTTTTTAGTTAAACTAATCAGCCATAAGTAATATTAGCGAGCCGATTAATAATTTTACAAATTATGAAAGCTTTACCAAATTACAACCAAATTTGATAACCAAGCCGAATTAAACTTAAATTTGACTAATCCGGCCAAATAAATTGCATAAGCATACTATCAAACTGAAACTATAAGAAGGTGCCAAATTTGATTGTCAACAATATATACGACTCAAATTTTGTTGCAAGTCCACCTATGTCAGGAACTGCTTTATTATCGCATTGCATGCACTATTATCAAGTCGATCTAATTAATTAATATATGAACATCTTCCAAAGAATCCACCAGTCTTCCATGGAATTCGAAGAAGTAGTCAGCAGCTGAGCTGTTTAGGGCGACGGCGGCGGGCAAAGCAAGTTGGGAGCCTGTATTTCGTGGCAGTTACCGCCGGGTCCCCCGAGGACCTCCATGATCAGCGCCTCTGATATCCCTCGGCCACCCCTGCGGCCGCAACCTGCAGCAAGGGCCTCGCCGCGAGGATCACGTTGCATAACTGCAGCAGAAGCAGCAAGGCCACCATCACCACCCTCGCCATCGTCGCCGGCCGCTTCAGTGCCGCCACCATTGCAAACAAGCTAAGCGGCTAAGGTAGCTAAGCTAGTATGGGAGGCTTCTTGCTAGTAGTTTGAGTTGGTTCGGAGGGAAACATGCACAACGGTGGCTTTTATAGCATCGTGATTTGTGACGCTTGCTTGCCATCCTCCGGAAAGGTAAAACGAATGACCAGGTCATCAGTTCAACTGTCCATTCAAGCCATGTAATATTTGTCAGGTCAAGTCTAATCCAAGTAAGTCTTATAATTTGAAGTCCATGAAAACCACGACACACGCGCGCGCGCACACACACAAACACTCCCAGATGTGGTTCGAATCCGTGTGTGTATGCATGCGTACGTGCGTGGCTTCTTGCTTGGATTTGTGAATTCTCGGTCGATCAGTCGTCTATGCTAACGGTTGGATCGGACCGAGACGCATGCACAGATACATATATTATATATATACTATATATATAGGTCGCGGTACTGTGTCGTCATACCTTTTGACGTAAGTACATTCATCGTATTCAACGATGGAGCCCCGGCCCTGTGCGGACGGCCGGATTCGTCGAGTTCACAAGCCGCTATTGTTTCTGCCGGCCGTTACTGGCATTCTGGCAACGGTACATAAGCTTCCCAGAAAGTGGCGGCGCTGGCCTTTTGTTCATTTTGTTGGTAGTGACTGGGCGACAAAGTTGGCCAGCCGGAAAGTACATATATAGGAGTATGTACCTACAGCACAAGTTTGAAGTTCCTAGCTAGTTCTGATTCGCATGTTGTTGGTGCGATCCCCTGAACAGTAGTCTCTGAAAACATCCGCCGCGCGCCATGCATGCATCCATCTTATCTTATATTATACTATTATTAATTAGAAATCTAGAAAGGAGCCTCTATATATATTAACCCTTAAAAATATGCTAGAAAAGATACATCTTATAAATTCTCATAAAAATCAGATATATCTAACTATCAATGTGGTATAGACTCCTATATTATCATCATTGATAATAGAGAGAAGTCCACATTTTGGCCATCCAACTATTTGCTGGATTTGTTTTTGGCCATGCAACTATTAATAATCAAGAATCTTTGGCCATTGATCGCAAATTTGGTTGCCAAGCTAGTTTTAGAGATGGTTTATATTTTATGAAAACTAACAAAAAATACTTGCTCATTTTATAAAACATGGGTTTGGGGTTCCTCGTGATGACACGTGGATAATTTCGATATAGGTTTAGGGATTACTTTATGTGTTTTCATGATAACATAGGTAGGTAAACTTTTAGAAAAAAGAAGTAATGGACTGATAGTTATTGTTATCGATAGCGATTATAGTTTACCAAATTGATGGCTATATCTTAGTTTCTGATTTTTTGACAATTTTCTAGATTTATCTTTTTCTATCGTAGTCTTACGAGGATCAACATGAATGCTCTATTAGAGCTGCAATTATTCTTAATAATAGTAAGAAAAGCCAGAGACAATGAAGTATATATCGTGTTCTTTTAACAAAGTCACTGAATATTTGGAGAAATAATGTTTCGTACTTATAAAAAGGGGGGAAAAGAATAATGAAAGAATACAACCACAAATGCAATTGGGACCTTTATAACAATTACAAGACTAAAATAATATAATAATCTAAGTTGTTGCCTCGTATCAGCAAGCTAATTAATCATCGACGGTGCAAACTTGCTGATTGCAACTTTGCAAGTCGAGCTATGTGAGAGACTGTTTTATTCTCTCAAATTGTCTGCTCTAACTAAATTTATCTTATCGATTCTACTATAATTAAATAGCTTAAAAAAACACTTTTCCATGAACAACCAAGCTGAATAGGACGGTGCACCCGAGCAGCTATCTCGATGGTTAGGTCTGGCAGCCGGGGTTCCCGGAATTCCTCCAGTCGCCGCAGTTGCCGGCGCCGGCGCCGCCCGGCGGCCCATTGCCCTTGTCTAGCACTTGCATCACCATTGTTGTCACGGCGCCCTGCCACAGCTGCCACCCGCCGTCCGCCCCTGCCGCCACATGCAGCAACGGCCTCGCCGCGAGGATCACGTCGCAGCATTGCATCAGCAGTACGGCCACCACTGCCGCCTTCACCATCGTTGCCGCAGTCGTCGATGCCATGTCGATGCTACGTTTATTTGATTGCAAACAAGCTAGGGCTCTAGGTGCGCGCGTTGTTGCTCTAGCAAGTGAGGAGTAGTATATGTGCGTACGTGGAAGAAAACGTCGTCGAAGTGGTTGGTTTGTTGGAGCCTTGGAGATGGCTTCCTTTTATAGAGTTCGTTTCCATATGTTTGATCAATATAATGGCCGATCGAAGCATGCATACAGCATTACATTACTATATGGACCGGGTCACTTATTCCCCTCTTAAATTATGAGACTTCTAAATTTTGTTCTCAGGTCAAGCCTCAGCCTACACGGTTTAATTTTCAACTGTTGATCAGCGCGGTCCATTTGATTTCAAATTCTGAAGTTTGAAGTCGATGCAAGAAGTGTCATAACGAAAGCATATGAACGAAGTCCCTAGCTAGACTATATTTATGAACATATATATAACTACGTATCCGATCGAGTCGCTCTTGCCCCCACGGAAATGGTATTCAGCAAGTGTTCTAGATTGCTTCTCATTGCCCTTGTTGCTAGGGTTCGTGAATTCTCAGTAGATCTCTGCACTCTGCTTAGTGTTGGACCGGTTCATAGGTGAATGTTTGTGACTTTGGACCTTGGACACGGTTCGGTCGTATTCAATGAGTCACCGCGGACTAATCTTGATCGTTCATGTCATTCAGTGAGTGTCTCTGGCAAAGTTTCAACTACAAGTTTATTGTTGATAATTTTTTATTTGAAGTTGTTTAGAGTCATAAATATTTGTTTTAATTTCACATGTTTTGAGATTTAGATTTTTGAAATTTTCAAACAATCTTGAATGGAGACATCTCCTATACCTAAGTTGTAGTGTTTGACAAGTTTTAAAACTTTTTAGTTGAAACTTTTTTTCCATTTGAAGTCATTTACGGGCGGAAAAATTCAATACAAGATTACAAAATGTTGATATAAAAAGATAATTGTCTATATATAATCACAAATGAGTGTGTAGTCTAGCGGTAGAGAAGCATTATATGTGCTGAAGGTAGTCAGTTTCTCACCTATGTTAATCAATTTACAAAGACGGACATTGTGCCTAACTCTGAAAATGGCCTATTAACAGCGACCATTTGCCAGAGACTACTTCTAAATAGATATTTATTGTAGTGCCTCTCAAAATCCTTTGTGTAATAATGGGCTGCGAGGGCTAGAAAGGAATGGGTCGCAAAATAGGCCCATTATCATCATAGTAAACACACATTTTAGCAGCAGCGTTAGAGCAAATCCAAGAGTCTCTTTAGATCCTTTCTTATTGATATAGTAATAAAGATTTTGATGAAAAATATCCTCCAACAACTTTTTAATTAGATATCCAAAAATAAACATATTGTATTCCGGACTTATTGCTAGCCAAAGATGAAGAACGAGATTGACTCTCCAGAGTGCACACAAAATACAGAAAAGTTGTTGAAGGACGAAGAGATATAAAGAGTGATTTTTATTAAAAATAAGTTTTTAGATAATAATTTAGAGAGTAAGTTTAGGAAAGACTGTTGGAGATTCTCTTATTTTCGACTTTGTTTGCCTCCTCCTAGGGCAGCTTTGTTCTTCATCGGTAGTATAGTAATACACCAAATTGGTCGTATCAAAAAAAAAAAACAAGTTGGCATCAAGAGACGTTGCTGCCGATATGCAGTTATGCACCATCAAGAACTCAAAATTGAACATGAATTAATCTGAAATGCCTTTGCAGGAAAGAAAGGGTGGACGTGGAACATATGCTTGATGATAGAATGTGATTCCTTCCTTCTTTGGCCCTTTCTTTTCAAAGACCAAAATTTAATAATTGGAAAAAGGCCCAACTTTGTCGTTGTACACAAAAGGCTCGTGGACAATCCGGTATATGTCCCCAGCCTAAATCAAACATTATTTAGGTTAAGGCGGATGAAATTTTCACAGTGACATGCATAAGTGGCTTTGCTAAATTGACATCCGAAGCGTTGGCTTCAAAAAAAAATGACTCAAAAAACTTGAGGTTGCCTGATTTTTTGATATTCTAGCCTTTTTATATCTATTTCCTTCACCAGTATGCCCTTAAATTAGAAAAGAGAAAAAATGTCACAAACATTACCGGAAACAGTAGAATTGCCGAGTGCCTGAGGGTTTGCCGAGTGCATTCCATCGGGCACTAGGCAAACATCATATTTACCGAGTGTTTTTAATTCAACACTCGGCAAACAGATAGCACTCGGTAAAATCCAACTTTGCCGAGTGACTAATAAAAAACACTCGGCAAACTACAACGAAACACTCGGCAAACACGGACACTCGGCAAAGTAGAGGCACGTGCGCTGGGCGTGCGGCGGCCGTTGGGTGCGCCGCCCTACCGTTATAACTTTACCGAGTGTCCGTTAGAGACACTCGGGAAAGACAAGGTTTGCCGAGTGTTTTTTATTGACACTTAGCAAAATATTGTTTTTGCCGAGTATTTCTTATTGGCACTCAGCAAAATAATGTTGTTGCAAAGTGTTTTTTTATTGGCACTCGGCCAAATAATAATTTTTTTCATCTCCTGCCCTCCAAACTTTTTCTACTCTCCACATACAATATGTGGTACTATATTTTAAACTTTGGTATATTTCTCGATCTGTTTGCTATATTTAATTAATTTATTGTATTTAGAAGAATTTTTTGGTTTAACTTAAATTTGAACTGCAAGTGATTCAAATAATGGAATAAATTGAGTGGAAAAATCATATTCATGTTATTGAGTCCATTTTGGGGTCTTACTCGGGAAATGAAAAGAAATTTCGAACATTTTATTCAGGAAACATGACCACGAACGTGTGGCCGAATGGTTTTTAAATTCTAAAAAAAGCAAACAAAGTCTGAAAATCATGAGATTTGTCAAGATCTCATGATATCATACCTGGAGACTGTGGAAAAAAATTGAGAAGGTTTCGCACCATTTGTCATGTATGACCTTTACAAACCGAAGCATCTCCGAATAAGAATCAAGGAGTTGAGAAGAATCTGGTAAGATTTGGAGTCAAAATGACGGTCGAATTGGGGATTGACTTCAAAACTTTTTGTATAGGCAATAGACAATATAGATTGGTTCACATCAATTTTTTGTAAATTTTCGGATCTATTTGATAATTTTAATTTATTAACTGCAATTATAGAATTTTAATTGATATAAATTGAATTTGAGCTATAACTGCATGAAATAATGGATTAATATTCGTAGAAAAATCAAATAAGCATTGTTGAGTGAATTTGACAAGGTATTTTCAAATTACATCGTAACAAATTTAGTAAAACACGTTACGAAGAAGGAGAATGGGTGGGCATGAAATATCAATTTATTTTGCCGAGTGTTAACTGTACGACACTCGGTAAACAATATAGTTGCCGAGTGTCATATAATGGACACTCAGCAACATACCCAAGCCGGCCCCACTTACCAGTATCGTACCGGTTGGAAATTTGAAAAAAACAATGCCGAGTGTTTTGAATCTGGCACTCGGCATACCTTTACTTTGTCGAGTGCCAAATCGCGGGCACTCAGCAAAGCCCTTTGATTTTTTACCCTATCCGGCCACACACTTACTCACACACACTCACCCGCACACACACGTACACCGAACCGCCCTCCACACCGTCGGAGCGCCACTCACCACCCCACGCCGCCGGACCGCCCTCCGCCGCCGGGCCGCCACCCCCCCCAGCTGGGCCGCCACCCTCCGCTGCCGGACGGCCGCCCCTCGCTGCCAGGCCCCCGCCATCCCGGCGCGTCGGCGCGACTCCTGGCCCCCCGGCGCGATGCCCCTCCCGCCGCCGCACGACGGCCCGGCCACCCGGCGCCCCTGCCTCCTAGCTCGATCTCCACCCCTACTCTGTGACTGCCCCCACCTGGCCGCCTTGCCTCGTCCCAAGAACTGGTATGTGAGCCCTTCCTCTCTCCTCCTTGTCCTCCCCAGATCTCCCCAGATCGAGCTCCTGCAACTTGGATGTGTAATTTTTACTCATTGGATGTGCTTGTAGTAGTATATTGAGAATATCATGTTTTGTCTCATGGTTAAAGAACTGCCTTGTAGTAGTATATTGAGAATTTCGGCAGCTACAGATTTAGACAAAAGAGAGAGCATAAGGCATTCCATGAAATCCTGATTGTCTGCCCAGCATAAATGGTTTTGAGCTGCCATATCTGAAACCAGAGCTTGAACGGTCGTGGCAACAACACCTTAAGCTACAAAATTATAGCGTGGCAACAAAAATCTATTGCCACGCTATCGCTCGTTGTATTTACCACCTCTCGCTACGAAGACGAACGTGGCAAGTGCTCGTATTGCCACGCCAATGAATGTTGCGATAACGTCCTATTGCAATGCTTGGCAACGTTGCAAGAAAAGCTAACTCTTGCAACGCCAAACTAGCAATGGTTGCAAGTTCTTATTGCAACGTGACTTTTTGCAACCATTGCCAACAAACGCGATTTCATGGTATGAACTACCTTTTGCAACAAAATTGGGCCTATTGCAACATTTTCTCGTCGTTGCGCAAAGGTTAGAAGTTTGTAGTGTTCATAGTTTTTAGAACTTTAAACAAATATCTGGCTAAAAAAATCAAAGAGTCAGAGAAAAGACACACTCGATACTGCAATATGAGATGGAACATGGAAGAGAGGAGAGAAATGTGTGTTTGACTAGAGATACTCAATAGAAATGTTAACTTTCTCTAAATTCAAATTCAGTAAAAAATTGAAGATACTCAATCGAAATGTTAACTTTGTATCTGTTTCAAAGGCAAATACATACTTCTCAAGTGACAATAGCAGCTAAATGAACCCTTCAAATTTCCATATCTTTGCACAATAGCAATGCAAATCTGTGACTAAGGAAAATCAAAGGATGAAGTCTAAAATCATGCAAAACAACCTAGCAGAAAAAAGGTTTCCAACAATAGATTAGCCAATTGGTCTTGGTTATCCATGCTTGGCTTCTTAT